CTTGCGCACCAACAAGGAATCCTTTTCACCATTGAGCATCCCCGTAACAGCAGTTCGACGCTCGCGGCAAGTTATGGACCTACCTGGTGTTCGCCTGCGTGCTGTTGATTGAAAACCTAACCTACATTACTAGTACCGACGCTGCCATCCTTTTGGCGAGGGTGGTTGTGGAAGTTGCCAGAGAGTTGCGCGCCCTGATTGCGAGCTGTGTGGAGGCTAGCTGGGCCCTTGGTCACTTTCATTGAGGCGCAGTTCCAACTTTGACCAGGCTTGCATGTTACCTTAGGAGAGCCCGATGTCGGCAACGGCTACGCAGCCGCAGCCGCCGCAACAAGACCAGCATGCTTGGAAACCTCATCCAGAACCATAAGTCATAACATCCTGCCGCGGCCCTTCAACGGGGCGGAAGGGGTGTTGGGTTGTGTGTGTTGCTCCCCCCCCCCCCCCGCACCTTGAAGGGCCGCGGCTGGATGTTATGACTTATGGCCGCGCGATGCTTCGCACTCAATGTACCAATCTCAGCGTCTCAGTGTTCTGCTTTTGTGTCTTCACTTGGACTGTAGCACGTGTGCTCCGTGTGATGTCGACAGGACCGCGACAAGCAACGAAAGATAGACCGCATATTGGCCATCTTTCGTTGCTTGGCGCCATCCGTATGTAGTCTGCGCGATGTCGAGCTGACAGAGGTATACTCTTGGGTTTTTGCTGAATACCATGGTACCTCATGGAGACCATCATATTTGGCTGAGACTGCTTGAAGGTGCAGCGCATGAGGCCTGAAAAAGGGGGCCAGCTCGAAGCCGAAATCTCACATTGTTTTTATTAGAGCCAGCCGTTCTTCAGAGAAGCTTCGATTGGCGGGACCATGCCTGACGCTGTGTGAAGGGCCCATGTGAGTCAACAATGCCAGAATGTGTTTTCTGCAAAGCGGTTCTTCTTAGAGCTTCTCAGTGTTCTCGTTTTTTTTCTTATCGTCTCAGTATTCCCACTCTCAAAAATTGAAGGTCCAGGTGGTAAAAGTTGCCCTGAAGCGAGCCTTCCTGGATTCCTGCTTTGCCTCAGGCCCCGCTACCTTCCACAAGAGTCCCAGGATCGACTTCGATTCGAAAGGCGACTTTGGACTTTGGGTCCGACTCGCCCCGTTGTTGGATCGACCGAAAAGGCGTCTTAATGCGGGTCTGACCGCGCGTTTGTGTACGTCCAGCAAGTATTGGCAAAGTTTGGGTTGTGTCCCCTATAGTCCCCTTTTGCGGCGGGCTTGAACATCATATTTGGGCCAGATTGAAATGAGGGTGATTTTCAAGGGGAAGGAGAGGGTGCTGATTGTATTGCAGTATGTCTCCAGGTCGAGTTTAGCATTGGTATAGCATTGGTGTAATACTGGTTCAGTACTGCCTTACTATTGGTGTAAACCTTGCTAGCAATTCAGTATTGCTTTGGTTGGTGTAGTACTGGTTCGGTATTACTCCGGGGTAGGGGTAGACTTGGGATACAATCATCTTATCGACACTTTGAATCAAGCAACAAGATATACATTCTACAACCGGGCCTCACTATTATGTATTGGTGTAGTGCTTACTGCTGAGGCCCAGTTTCGTGCTTCAGTGCCAACATCCGGATCTCAGGTTTGGGCCGCTCTTAGAGGATCTCCATAATATTTGTGTGGCTTCGGGCCTCAATCGAATTCATGGATTGCTGTCTCAATGACATGGTTTGGGTCTCGTTTCGTTTTGGTGAGTGTTGGCGAAAAAAAGCTCACCGCGGGGAATTTTGCAAGGGCTGGGCGCAGAATTGCTCATTCACCCTGGTTCTTCTGGCAGCCATAGCCAGTTCTCGCCTCGGAAGCCTTTAGTGTTACTTTTGGCTGATTCCCTGTTTCAAAGCAACCAATCGCCTGTGGTAACTTGCAAGTTTTTCAACTTGCTCACCAACAGAAAGTCAGCTACCCCTGAATTGGTGGATTGGCTTGGGACTTTGAACAGCTCCTTTTGGAACCAAATAGGGTTTGGGAACCCCAGAAATTCCTGTAACCAGCAAACCAAGCCACCCAGAAGGGAGCTGAGGAACGGAGTCGACTGCACGGAATGGCCCAGAAACCCTGCAACGGCCAAACGCTTCTCACTTTGAACTTGCCGGCTACCGAGCCTCGAAGGGCCTGAGGATGCAACTTCACCCTCTTTTGGGCGCCCTAAGACGGTACCAAGGGACTATCTGGGAACAGGTTTCATGTTTGAGTTTCCACAGAGTCCCGTTTCTTGTAGCCATACCAAGTTCATGTTTGTAGCTGCGCATCCTAGTTCCAGAGCATTGCCAGACATGCGGGAAACATTCGTGGGTTCTCAAACATTAGATTTGTTGGATCCGCCATGTTTCACACTCCCTGAGTTCCTGGACTTTGAACTCTTTGGTAAGACGAGTGGTACACAAACAGTTCGGTTACTTGCTTTGGCATCAGCTCAGTGCGCGTCCAACTTTGCAAAGGAAAGATCCAACTGGGCCCAGCAAAGTGTGATCCTCAGAATTACATTCTAGATGGTTGAGCGGGAAACCACACCCAAAGGTTTTCCTTTGTATCCAACCCCAAACAAGAAGACTCTAAAACAGACGCGCCACCCAACTGTTCACTTTAATTTTCCCACCGTAAGGGTCCCGATTGATCTTGGGGCCTCACAATGGGTTGTTTTTGAGGGCCTATGAGGAATTGGCCGCTTTGGGTTTTTTCATGGGGGGGGGCCCGGAGGACCCTTGGGCGGAAGGCTTCAAAATCCTCGTTTCGAGGCACACCGCAGAGTCTCATGACCAAGAATTCCCACAAGTTGTCCAAGTACCCGGATTGGAACACCTGGCGACACGCAGCGTGGCGAAAGATTGGGCAAGGTTGAGCTGGCGAGAGAGAGAGAGAGAGAGAGATGAGTAAAGCAAACGCAGCCACCTTTAGAAATACATAGTACATTAACTTTGGATGAATCGTAGTCTAGTAGTCAGAGGAACCCTCTCTAAGACCGGTTTGCTTCAAGGAATGTGGAGGGATCGGTTTTTATCGAACCTCGCGGCAAGTGAGCTACACAGTAGGCCTAGGTGCTATCCCCCGCCTCGGAACAAAAGGAAGGAACCCCCAAGTTGCTATCTCTGAAACGCTCCCAAGCCCCAAACCCCAGGGCCTGTCGAGACCCACAGCTGTCCGCTGAAAACAAAAGCATGCCCATCCGTTGTCAGCCGCTGGACGTCAGTCACGCGTCACTCTCAAAAAGGTGAATGAAATAGGTCTTATTCCCGGAGTTCAGGACCATTGTAGCGGCAAACAACAAGTGTGGTTTGTTTTGCCTCTTCACTCAAAAGGTGAGAGGTGTAGCACGGTCCAAACACCCCTGAGATTTGGACCGCCAGGTCTCTGGGTGAAATGGCCGAACTTGGATGCAGATGCATCTCCGACTTCCTAGGTCTAAGTTTGGTCCCTTTGAAGGCAAAACTGCAAGCTGGCCACTCCTTGCGCGTCCAGGGGAATTAATCTGGCTGTGGGTCAAAACGAATGGTAGCATTTTGGGGTAGGTGCGCCACCCATTTTAGTCTATTTTAGTGGGGATTGGGATGTTCACTGGGGGTACGGGATTTTGACCCATGGCCATATGGCTGCGTCTTTGTGGGCGGTGTGGCTGAGTGAGGTTTGGTTGTTTGCTTATTTCGGTTTTGCCCTCAGGCAAATCATAATGTCAAGGACGGGTACGCCTTCGCTCCACCTGCATAGCCGGCCTTTCCAGCCACGCCGCTTTTTTGTAGCCCCGGAGGCTCCAAAATGAGGCTTAGGCCTGCAAGTGGGGGCCCTCTCAGACCTGAAAACCGCCCTCCTTCGCGGCGTGTTTGGCCCTTAACGAGCATGGGCCTTGATGTGTGGGTCCCTGCATTTTCCCCGGCACACCGGCCACTGGCACAAAAGGGTTTGTTTGCCAACAAGCCTGGAAAGCACGTGGATTTTTTTCATCTGACGGATCATGATATTCCGGCAACATGGCCAATGGGTATTTGGGGTGTTGTTTCTCAAGACCCTAAAATGGATTTCGGTTTTCCTGGTGGTTTCCCATTTAATACCAGCCCAAGAAGTGGGGGTACCTGGACCCTCAAACCCTTAAACAATGGACACCACCCCAGAAGTGTTTTTTGCCATAGCCCATTTTCAAGTTGGTAGTTCAGGAGGGTAAAAAAGGGGTACCAACTCCACAAAGAAAAGCTAACACGACAATCAACATGAACTTTGGTTTTCCTCCTGTTTTCCTTTGAAGAAACCAGCCCAAACCTGGCACCAACTCCAAAAAGGCGAGAAGACAAAGAAGACAACCACCAACTCCGAAAAAAGCGGGGAGAAACAAAAAGGAGAAGCACAAAAAGACTGAAAAACAAAAACCGACGAGGCATCGACGTGACGCGTGAGCGAAGCGAAGCAACAGCTTCCGTCTGAGGCCTTTGGCTCGGATCGGAACCGCGCGCCCGCCTTCTTCCGCGCGGGGAGCATCGTGGCCGACCCAAAGCCCGGAGCCCCGCGAGTCGCTGACCGGCGCCCGTCCTGACTGGGCTGTCCTGACTTCGGTGCGTTTGAGGTCTTCTGGAACCTCTGGTTTCCGGGCAGAAAGGGGAAACGGAGCACCTCCCAACCACAACCCACCCCTTTCCTTTGCAGTTTGCCAAGGGATGTTAGGACTGAACAACTTTTGGCCAACTATTTGTGGGTTTTCCGAATTCAGCCACTTAAAGTTCGTCACTTTTCACAGGGCTTCGCAGATTTCGCCACCGAGCTGAGATCCCCTGCCAACAGTTCTCATTTTATTTTTTAGCTCGGGGTCCCGAGCAAAAGGCAAACATCTGCAAACCCCCAAGCGGACGGACAGGAACCACCCCAAGCGATTTCGTGCAACCCCCCGGGAGAACCCGAAGCGAGCAATTGGGACACCCCCTCAAGGTTTGTTGAGGCCGGTCGGCTTTAGGGAAGCCAAAAGGAAGGCCGAAGCAAAAAAGTCATTTTGGGGTTGGAAGAGGGCGAGGTTTAATGACCCAAGAGAATTGGAAGCCCCATTTCTGGAGGCAGTAACCCATTTGGCCGTGGGTCAACACCAATGGTGCCATGGGTATTTCGGTCTATTTGAGTGGGGAGTGGGATGTTCACTGGGGGTACGATTTGGGTTTTGACCCATAGGCATTTGTAAGGGTTTCAGACCTGGGCCTCAAGCTACTGGCCCAAACCATTTGGGGATGCCGTTGTGAATCAGAACTTTTGCTGGGTCGACTACTCACAAAGAGAAACGAAGTTGGCATTCACCCCAAGTTCTTTGGGGTAGCCCACTTTAAAGGGAATAGTCGGAGCGTCCAGGTAAGCATGGCCGTAAGAGGAAAATATGTTTGGCAGGGGGTCTCCAGAAAAGACCGACCCCCCCCCCCTTTTTTTGAAGGGCTGGAGGTCTGCGGTCACGAGATGTTTAACTGCTGACTTTGCTTTTGTTTGGTTGCTTCTCAAAAAACGAAGAAAAAAAAACACGCCACTGAACACGCCAGTTGACAGCTGTTGGGGGGAGAGTTCTGGCAGTGGTTCCATTTCCCTGTATATAGGTGCGTTTTTCTTGTGAGGGGTCCCCTTGTGATAAAACCTACTTTTGGGGAAGGCTCTCCGAACAAAGCCACACATGTAGGTTGCCATGGGGTGGTCAAAAGGATTCATGGCGTCAGGTTTGCTACGGTAGAGGCTTGTTTGGGCTGGGGTGAAAAGCTGGGAAACTCAATGGGATAGACCAAAGTTGTGAGTTGTGCTAGTTCCCTGGGATTCAGTCCACCATCAAAACAATGGGGGGCTCATACCACCATTGTTTACCTAAGGATTGTCATCCAAGTTGGGTCCTTTCTTTTCATGGCGCTTGAAGCCTAGGGAGTTGCTTTCACTGATTTGTATATCCCAGGCCAAGAGTTCTGAATCCCAGCCTGCTTGAAAGATGCCGGCTTGAAGCCTAGGGGACCCAAGAGGTTGGTTTTATTTTGGCTCCCCGACAAAAAAACAACTACAAAGATGGAGTCAGAATTCGGGGACCTCAAAGAAAAGGTTGGTTTCCCTTTGGTTCAAAGACAGGTTTCCCTTTTGGTTTCCCTTTAGTTTCCCTTTGGTTCCCCTTTTAACACCAACTACCTGGAGTCTCCATGTCTCCATGACCCAACTAAAAAATGGGTCCATCACCCCATTTTGGCGCGTGACCCACCATTGTTTAGACTCCAGGTCGCCTCAACACACCCAGTTTCTTTGATCCAGGAGGGGGAAACGGCCTAAGCCAGAGGGCCCTTTTTTCACCTCAAACCGGGGACCTTCGGGCCCCCCAAAAAATGGAGTCTTCCATAAGCTGAAATCTATATGTTTTGTATCTTTTTCTCTTGGTTTTAAAGGGAATCGGTTTCACTACTGGACATGTTTTCCCATGTTTTCCAGGGGACTTGAGCAACTGGGAGGATTTCCAATTTTCCTTTCCGTTTCGGTTGCCCCTAGCTGCAAACCGGGTCCCTTCAAACAAAAAACAACACGAGATCCGCAAAAAAGAAGAATAAAGAAAAGACTCCGGAGGCCCATTTGCCGAAACTCCAATCTGCACATCAGCGGCTGCGGCAAGCCGTGCATGTTCTGCATGATGGCAGGCCGGGACTTGGCCCTTTTAGCCTAACGATGGCGGTCCAAATGGTTGAGAAGGCCCAGTTCGTTCTTTTGTGGGTTCTTGAATTTGCCCCTCCAACCGGTTTACCCCAAAAGGTACCATGAATCTGGGGGTTGATTCCTTTTCCATTGTTGTCAACCATCGTTCTTTTCCAAAACCGGATCCGTTTCCCTAGGATTTTGATGGTTTCCTGAGAAGACACATCCCTGGAAAGAATGGGGAAGGTACCCCTATAGGATTTATATATGAACCAAATATCTAGGACACCCCCAAAAACGGTGGCGTTTCTTGTGGTTGCCCTGTAAAATAAAACACAAACAGGTACCCTCAAAAAAGACAGACCCATACTGCATCAGATTTGATGCGCATTTGCACCGGTGTTTCCCAGGGGGATGCTGAAGGTTTAGGCACTCCCAGCGAACACTGAACAAACGTGCATATTGTCCGTCAACGATAGAGGACAACTTGAGTTTATGTTGACCTGGACCCTCAAACTAGCCTTAAAAAAGGGAAACCACCCCAAAGATTTTGGGGCCGCAACCCATTTTCAAGGGTATTTTCTTCCCCAGAATTAGCTCCCCTTTTTCCTTGTTTGTTTGTTTGGGGTCCCTTTGTTTTCCACTAACCAGGCAAAAACATATATATATATATATTTATATTTGCTGGGGTCCGGTTTTTCCAGCCTAGTTTTGAGGGTCCAGGGACATCCAAGCGCACCACTCTCAAACAAAAATGGGACTCTTCTTGACAAACACACCGCATGCATCTACCGCATATGTTTGTTCTCTTGTAGGGGTCGATCGGTGCCTAAAAACGCGATTCTCCCCTGGTCGAAACCAGCAGGAAACCACGAGACCAAAAGGAACTTCCTAACACATCGCTCACAAAACTTTCCATTCGAATGGGGAATCCGGGCAAGACTGTATACTTCAAACATGGTGCCAGTGCTAGCACTTCTGTTGCAGGACTTGGAGGAACTGTGAAAGGATTTGCCCATGACTGGGAAGATCTTTTTCCAGCTTCGCCACCCAGTTTGCACGGTGCCAAGATAGAAGGACTTTAGCAATGCCTGATGTATGTGGTCTTTTTCCGGGAGAAAACAAAGGGAAGAGGATGAGTGGGGTGCGGGAGGGTCGCAACCCACATGTTTTGTGTTCCCTCAATTGGTGGTTTAGATGAATGGCGAGATTGGAACAGTAAATGGAACCAGCAACTAAAACTACCCTAAAAAAGGGGAAGCACTCCAGCTATGGCCATTTTCAAGTGGGTATTTTGAGGATCAGGTACCCAAATGGCACCAAAGGGTAAATGGGACACCAGCCCAAACCCTTTTTGGGAAGCTCACATCTTTGCCGCTTGCAACGAAAACAACTGGAAGGACTTCAGCGAGCCAGTGGGGTGTGCGCCAAAACAATGCCGCGGGTCCAGTGACTTCTGCTTTAGGAGTACTTTCCATTTCCAGGCATATCAAATCTAGGGGTAGAAGACTGAAGGATGCCTGGAAAGAATGGGGAAGGCTCGTGCCCAGATATTTGGTCCATACATAAAGTTCCAGGGGTACCATTCTGAACCCAGGCATCTTCTGTCTAAAAACCACCCCAAACCCTGGGGAAACAGCGATCGGTTTTTGAACAGAATGGGGAATCAACCCCTAGAAAAGTTCCAAAGCTCTCCATACTTGGCAGGGAAGTTAACTTATCTCGATGGTGCGAGAGATGCAGGGAAGGAGAATTGGAATGACCCCTGTAAACTATCCAACTGTTGGTGTCCTTCATTCGGGAATCCTCAAACGGTTCATTCCATTTGAGTGTGGCCCAAAATTCAAGACCTAGGGATACGCTGGTTTTAGTCATTGGTTCCATTTACGGTGCCATTTTGGGTACCTGGACCCTCAAATGGCCATAGGCCCCAAAATCTTTGTGTGGTTCCCCTTTGTTAAGGGCAGTTTGAGGGTCCCCTTTTTTGGGCTGGTATTAAAGGGAAACACAAGGAAAACCAAAATCCATTTTGGGGGGGATCCTGAAAAAAAAATCCCAAAGACCCATGTTGCCAGAGTATCGTGACCGCAACAAGTTCTTCGCCTCCTAGGTCCCCCAGCTAGGTGCCCCTTTCTCTCCGTGTGGGGGAGGGTTCCCTAAAATAAGCATCCTGAAAAAAGTTGGTACCCTTATTCTAACCTCTCTACTGGAGGACCTAGTTGACTTTACACCAGTTTGGACATGTTTTCGCGATTTTCAGCGAGGAAGTGAGAGGTTTGAAGGAAGTTCTTTCGTGAGTGATTTGCTCGAAGTTCCCTTACTTACCTCTTAAAAACACAACTTTTCAACTTTTTGGGTAACGTATGTAAAAGATTCACTTCCCCAGGGCTTGGAGTTTTAAGGGGTAAGCTTAAGTTCTTCCAACAGGCGACGGCCACGGTTGCCCCACCTCTGGGGCCCACAACGACATCAGCAGCGGCCTGGGGCTGAACGCCGCCTACTGCGGCGGCGGCGATGTGCCTTGGATCTCCTGAGCCCGGAACCAGTGGGAGCGGTGGACGGTTTTTTTTCAGTGGGAATGCGACTTCCAGTGGGAGCGGTTTTTGCTGCTGGTTTTAAAGGTGTGTTTTGTTCACGTGTTGTTTCATCATGTGGCAAAACGGCCGAATGGCCGTTTGGCTCAAGTTTAACCTCCCGTCAGGTTAGTTTTGGTAGCACGGCACTCGCCATAGCACGGCATCTCGCTGCGTCGCCGAGAAAGGACTCTCGGCGCTGGGGTGGGCTGGTGCTAGGAGGTAGGTGGTGCTGCGGCAGGACTTGCCTGGGCCTGGTTAAGGTGATCTTTTGCAACTTGCTGTTTAACCTTCACTTCAACCACCTCTTCCTCAATCATCACGTCCTTCAACCTGGTCACCGGCTTCAGTCCACTGAGTCGTGAGTCCGGGTTCTTTGGGTTCTTCGTGGATTACGTGAACCCTTTTTGATTCCCTGGGCAACGCCCTTTCCGCCCAAAACCGCAGGTTATCAGCCGTATGCTGGGAACGCCCACCATGGGAACCACCATGCCCGCACCGCCACTGACCCAGCCATCAACCGACCAGTTGCCGATTCCCCTCCATGGTAGGCGTCCCCGGCGGGAATTGAACCACAGACCCGGCGCCACAAAGATGGTCGAGGACAACACCTCTCCCATTACCACGGGTTATCAGCCGTACCAGCTAGAAGCTGGGGCTGGTGATCCGGTTGCGGGACGTGACCCGCTACCTGCTCCCATCGCCTACTTGTACGAGCAATGGCGTCCCCCGGAGCTTCTCATCGTGGGCCGGGCTTCGTGGACGACGAGGCCAACGCCCTTCGCGGCAATGCCGCGCCTGCTGCTTCCGGCTTAGACAGCCGGCTGTGGCCCATCCCCCCGATGGTGGGCGCAGAGCCCAATCTCGGGGTGATCACGGACGATTGGATCCTTTCTCAGGTTGTGTTTGATGAGGATGCGGAGGCCCCTATCCCGGCGGCAGTGCTCCAGATCGAGGACGGACCCCCTCTAGAAGAGGCTGAGGTTCCTCCAAATCAGGTGCCCTCATCGATTCGCCTACTGTTCCGTTCGTGGCGCTCCAGATCGAGGACCGGGCTATCCATCATGCTGCTCATCCGGAGCCGGCTCAATCATGGTCCCTTACATGGGATCAGTTTGACCAACTCCTCGGCAGTGGATCGCAGGCTACACCGCCTGATTTCGGTCGGCTCGACTTTAACTCGGGTGCCCCCGTTTCGGTTGGGAATCTGGATTTTCAATCCCTTTGTGATGCTGATTGGAGGTCTCAGCCTTCCCGAATTGACAGATCCTTTGATGCCCTGCCGTCGCATGAGCCTACTCAGGGTTTTCCTCATGATGGAGAAAATGACCCCATTGAAGATTTCTCCCCTTCTCATGTTGCAGGTTCGGCCCAACCCGAGGTGGGCAAACGGGCGATTGAGGATTGGCCGCAAATAGCTGGCCCTCCTCCCGTCTCAGGTTCATCCGACATTGACATCATTCACGATCACCCCAGTCCGGCGGATATGGACTTCATCCCTGATGCAGTATCATCTCACCTGTCAGGTACCCGTGACCGGAATGCGGACCGCTACAACGCTGGTCCGAATCCACCGCTTTCCTCAGGTACCCGAGGTCGGGATGCGAACCGCTACAACGCGGGCTCAAATCCGCCAAATCGGACATCAGGTACTAGTCGATCGGATGCGGGCCGCGAAACAGCAGGCCCAAATCCTTCCTCCTCTTCGTCAAGAAGCCATGCCGGTCTCTTCGCGGCGTTCAATCGGCGTCAGACTCGAAAAGAGTCCGCCCCCGACGTCATCGACCTCGAGGAGCAGTCCAGCCACCGTACCAGCGATGGATCCGAGCAGGATACACCTGGTATTGGCTCTACTCCATTTGACCTCCTCGACATCCCCTTCCATCAGCCACCCAGGAGAGGAAATGAAGATGATGAAACCATTCCTGGGATCCTTGATGTAATCGATGAGGCCGAGGTCACACCAGAGAGACGAACTACATCGCTCCCGCCGAGCCGCGTTGCCAAAGTACTTTCCCCTAAGCCACTCAATGGTGACGTTGCTCAACGGCTTGATCTCACTCAACCTAATCCAGATCAAGCTCAACTTCGCGGATCATCATCATTTGATAATGTGTCGGGACAAACCGGCACTGACTCACGAGCCACAAAGAGGAGCTCTGAGTCACCCGAGAGACGTGAAGCTGCTCTCCGACTGCGATCTAATCCCCCAGCTCATCACGATCCTATTGACGTTCCTATCCACTCTGCGGGGTCTGGGCTCAGCTCCAATGCCCCGATGTCCGAGAAGGAGACTGATGACGGGATTAACTCTACGCCTAGGAACCGGAGGCCTGGACTTAGCGCTGTTGCCCCTGGATATGGAGGGCTTCCTTCGAATCAACCGGTTAACGACTCCCTCGTTCCCGCATTCTTTCAAATCGGAACTCCGGGCTGCACTCCTGACAGGGAAGAAAATAGTCGCGGGGATCATGACGCTGATAGCCGTCCTGCTCCGTCTGCCTCCACAAGTGGCGGCCATCCTGTTGCATCTGAGCTTCAACGACTGCTTCTCGCGATCCACAACGAGGTCAAGGGGTGCAAGGCCGAAATCCAGGGGTGCAGAACTGAGATTCGTTCATGTAGGGATGATATCAACGCTTGCGTCGGTGAGATCAAGAAGATCAATAACCGTGTTGACGCCTTCGAGAAGAAGGTTGAATCATCTTTCTCTGCCGTTGCTGGAACTCTCTCAAAACACGAGGCTAAGTTCCGTGATTTCCACGAATGGATCGCCCGAAGCGAGAAGGAGACGAATGAGCGTTTCAAGATTTATGATGAGAGATCTGACTCGATCGTCACATCTGCTGCTGGACTTCGCGAGCAGGCCGAATCACTTGAGAACGTCAAGGTCCAGCTCCTTAGGTTCTCTGAGATCGGAGCTCTTGAGGCTGAAGTTCGGAAAATCAAAGACGAAGTTGAGGCGAACTCTCGCAGTGTCATCGACATTGAGGGAACCATATCAAGGGAAAGAACCATCCGTGGGAACGTCGAGACGTATATTCAGCATCTCGTTCCTGCGACCGACCTGAAGCAGTTCAGTGATAGGGTGTCCGGGGCCCTCAATGAGAACTCACAGAAACAGGAGGAGTTCAAGCTTCAATTGTCCCGTGTTGCTAGGTGCGTCAAGGACCTTCATGACAAAAGCTTAGGGCCCAATCCGAGGGACATGCAAGAGCAGTTTATGAAGCTTGTGCTGAGGGTCAATGAGATCAACATGCAGATCGCTGAGATAAGGGAACAACCTCCCGCTGCCTACGGATCTTCAAATGCTGGCGCTGCTTCGACCGCCGGGACGGGATCATGGGAAAAATCTGGAGACACTAATCCCTTAACCCAGGGAAGGACTCCTAGAGGTTCTCCTCCTCGTGATGTCCGCACCGTCAGCTCGACGAGATCTCCTCCGCCTCCACCTCCTTCGGGGCCACCCCCACCGTCACCATCAGCCCCCATCTTCGGCAGGGATCCCTCTAGAACGAGGGCCATTGCTCGGGCTGCCGGCGCTGCCCCTGATAACCGGGCCAGGTGTGCTCATGAAGAGGCCGGGCATCCACAGCATCGGGAACCTCGCTATCCATGCCGAAGTTGCGGCAAGTCAGTCTGCGAGGACTGCTTTGACCATGATTGTAACTCGTGTTTCAAGTGCAGCGATCAGTTTCCTAGATGCCGCGCATGCAGAGGAAGAGGGGGGAGACACGGACTTGTGAGGTGTCTCATATGCAAGGACGAGTACTGCGATCAACACATCGCTTCGCCTGACGATGTGCGTCGTTTTGGGTCGAGTGTTCGACCTATCTGCCTCGGTTGTCTGAGAGCTGATCCCGACGGGAAAACTAAGCATCGCGGCCCCAGTGCGGGGCCTGGAGGACCTGATTGCATTCCTGATCATAATCAGCGGGATGGCACTGCTCCTGATCCTGGATCCGGGCCATCACGTGGAGATCCGTCACATCGGAGTCCTGAACCGCACCAAGGAAATTCTGGTTTTTGTTCCCACGCCGGAGCTGCCGGGCCAATGCCACCAAGGGCAATGTCTTCGCCCGTAGTCGGACGAGCAGTTCCGAGGGGGACCATCAACACGTACCCCGGATGTTCCCCTACAGGGGGGATTTTCACCGGTCAGGTTGAGCATGGAACGTCTCAGGGAGTCATTCGCGGGAGATACGGACCTGACGCTGCTGTGACAAATCAGCAGAATCCACAGCCTCACCACGGAGCACAGGATAACTCTGGCGGGCCAACTGGTTTTTCTCTTCCACCAGGACTCGGTAAGGGTGTGCATGGCGTTGGTGGCGTCGGCGGTATTGGAGCTCCCGATATTCGCCGATCTTCCGCTGAGGAGAGAGTCTGCCCTCGGTGCAACATAAATGTCAAGACCAGCATCCCCGGGACGCCTCCATGTTTCCAAACTTGTTCGTTGTGCCGCACTTCTCTATGCGCCGCGTGCTGCCCGCCATCGTCCGGGAGTTGCTCTCTGTGTGCCATATCCATTGGCAGAGACGGCGTTTTACCTCCCCATGTTTTTGGGCAGGCTACTCGACCGCCCTTAACTTCGTTGCCATCTGAGGCGAACAAGTGCGCCAACATAGAGCTCGAAAAAGAGCCCGCACCGCATGAGTTGCGAGACTGGATCATTTCCACGAGAGAAATCGTGAGCAACGCATTCAGCTATGACTCGCCATATGCCATGTCTTGGGTCATGAGTGTCGAAAACGCCAGCACAATAGAGGAACTTGATGGGGAGTGCCTCTACCCGATCCTTGACAATAAGTTCAATGCTGCACTGAGAAAGTGCATCACATCGAAACCTATTGTTGCCAAGATCAGCAGGCTGACTGAAGAGGCTCAGGTAAAAAGGGGGACGAGGCTGAAAAGCCGCCAGATCCTGTTCTGTCTCATTGAATACCTTCGTCCCGATGAAG